GCTGGGATTACAGGCCATACCAGCCAACCGGCTCCGCAGCCCATAAAAATCCTTTTAATAGCGTTGCTGAAATTGGATCCCCTAGTTATACCTTATACTTATGAGATATATTTAAATATGCTATTATAACTATACTAATATACAACAATATATACCTTAAATATCGTATCAGATATAAATATAATTTTTTTTGAGATGGAGCTCACTCTGTCCGCCGGGCTTGGAGTGCAGTGGCACGATCCTCGGGCCACTGTAACTCCGCCTTTGGTCCAAGTGATTACCCTGCCTCGTCTCCTCGAGTAGGTGGGAATACAGGTGTGCAGCAAACCCACACGGCCAGCTACTTTTGTAACTTCTTTCGGTAGGATACGGGGTTCACCATGTTGGGCCAGATTGGTCGGTCGATCTCTTGACCTCGTGATCTGCCTGCCTCGGCCTCCCAAAGTGCTGAGATTACAGGCACGAGCCACTGCGCCGCGGCCGTTTAGTAATATAATATTCTGAAAAACACAGTCTCAACTTGGTAACCCACGCTGGATCAGCCTGGCCACAATTCTTGCCACTGCAACCTCCACCTCCCAGGTTCAAGCAATTTTGTATTTTCAGTAGAGATGGAGGTTCACCATGTTGCCCAAGCTGGTCTCAAACTCCTGACCTCAAGTGATCCACATGCCTAGGCCTCCCAAAGTGCTGGGGTTACAGGCGTGAGCCACTGGGGATATGTTTTAGTCCCCAGCAGGATCTGTTTTGGTCCAATTTATGGAGGAGGAGGAAGGAGGAGAGTGAGGAGGAGGTGGAGGAGGAGAGAGGTCCCAAGGAGGCCTCCCATCAAGTTCCGTTCCCAAGGCAATGCTTCCCTGCTGATGCTCAGCCAGCAGTGAAAGAATGCTGCACACCCAGCCACAAACACGAATGAAATCATGTTCTTCGCTCCAGCATGGATGCAGCTGGAGGTCATTATCCTAAGCAAATTAACCCAGGAACAGAAAACCAAGGACTGCGTGTTCTCACTTATAAATGAGATCTAAACATTGAATACCTATGGCCGGGTGCGGTGGCTCACACCTATGATCCCAGCACTTTGGGAGGCTGAGGCAGGCAAGTCATCTAGGTCAGGAGTTCAAGATCAGCCTGGCCAACATGGCGAAACTCTGTCTCTACAATAATACAAATATTAGCCGGGCATGATGGCAGGTGCCTATAATCCCAGCTACTCGAGCGGCTGAGGCAGAAGAATCACTTGAACCCGGGAGGTGGAGGTTGCAGTGAGCCGAGATCGCACGATTGCACTTCAGCCTGGGTGACAGAGCGCAACTCCATCTCAAAAAAAAAAAATGAGTACGCACATGGACATAAAGATGGGAACAATAGACACCAGGGCCTCCTAGAGTGGGGAAGGACAGTGGAGAGTAAGAGTTGAAAAACTATTGGGTATTATGCTCACTACCTGGATGACAGGATCATTCATAGCCCAGACTTCAGCATCATGCAGTATACACGGGTAACGAAACCCCACACGCCTCCCTGAATCTAAAATAAAAACTAGGAGACCAGGCTCAGTGGCTCCCATCTATAATCCCAGCACTTTGGGAGGCCAAGGTGGGAGGATGGCTTGAGCCAAGGAGTTCGAGACCAGCCTTGGCAACATAGAGAGACCCCCACCTTTACAAAAAATTAGCAGGGTGTGGTGGAACGTGCTATAGCACCAGCTACTCAGGAGGCTGAGGTGGGAGGATTGCTTGAACCTGGAGGGGTGAGGCTGCAGTGAGCTGTGATCAAGCTACTGCACTCCAGCCTGGGCAACAAAGCAACACTCCATCTCAAAAAATAATAATAATATGGCCGGGCACGGTAGGTGGCTCATGCCTGTAACCTCAGCACTTTGGGAGGCCAAGGTGGCCTGCGTGACAGAGCCAGACTCAGTCTCAAAAAAAAAAAAAAAAAAAAAAAAAAGGTGGGGGGCTTGAGGGAAAAGTGAATGAGAAGAAACCTGAGGTTGAACGGGTGCAATGGGGCAAGTCTCACCTTGTGACACCGAAGAGGGTCTTGCCTGTGTTTGCTCCTGCGATTTCGCAGGACCAATGCGCCACTTTAAAATTATGTTCTTTGAAAATATTCTATTTTTCCGAGATTGGAGTCTGTGCTCTGTCCTCAGGCTGGAGTGCAGTGGCTGCAACTCGGCTCCCAATGCAACCTCTGCCTCCCGGTTTCAAGGGATTCCCTGCCTCAAGCCTCCAAGTAGCCTTAAGATTACACGGCCGCTGCCTTACTACCCAGCTAATTTTGTTTGCCTAATTTTCAGTAGAACACGCGGTTTCGCCCACGTTGGCCAGGCGTCTTGACTCCTGACTCAGGTGATTCGG